TCATGAAGAGAATTGGTGCCATGTATAGAAGTAAAGCACTGCTACCCATTAAATATAGGAAAATGTTTGCCAATGCACTCATGTTGCCACAATTCGATTATTTAGACACGATCTATTGTAGAGCTGGCAAGACAAAACTTGCTGAACTTGACACTCTGTACAAAAAGGTAGCCAAAATAGCTCTCAACGTTCCAAAAACAGAGAGCAGCCTTAATGTTTATAGAGACATGAAATGGTTACCACTCCATCTTAGACGACAACTCCATCTGTCAAATTATATGTTTAGAATCATCCATGACAATTGTCCTACAAACTTTATGAACAAATTTAGTTACATATCAGGAGGTAGTAGGAGCGGCGAAAGCTGCAACCTTTATGTCAATAGATCAACATCACATAAAAACTTTCAATACTTGGGGGCAAAATGTTGGAATAATGTTCCAACAGATCTACGAAATCTGCCCGATGTTAAAAGCTTTAGTGATTCGTATAAGAAACAGCTACTATCATCTATAACAACAGACCCTAATTATACCTTCGACAATTCATATGACAAATTTTACACTGCAATCATAGTCGCCGATAACTAAGTAACTTCTAATTCTTTTAAATCTGAGGCATATATAATTGATGTATCGAAAAGATATTCCCTTTTTTACCACCTTACCATTCTGATTGATTTTGCACATGACTGACATGTTTTAACTGGAGAAGGGGTTCCCACAGTGGTAGTTTTATAAACCACTTTTAATTTATTGACCTATTATACTTAGTGGTAGTTTTATAGACCACATTTAATTTATTAACTTATCATACTTAGTATTTTTTTTTGGTGACTGTATCACCCAGTTTTAACATTTGATAATTGTACAGTTTATTGACGACACATTGACTGAATGTTATTTTATATTCTAATTTATATTCTAGATATTTTATTTATTTTACAACAGACGACAACTTCCTGTTTTTTCTTCTATATTAGTTACTCATATCTCTTGTACAGACTTTTTTACAAGGACATTGACAAATGATACTCACATTAGGCATTCATTATTGCATCTAAATTATTTCACTTGCATTAGGCTTAGAAATTTATTCTCTGGTCAACAGATTTCAAATGTTTAATTAATTTGTAGTATGACAGTAAGGTATATAAGAAGTTATTTAATTTTGCTTGGGCTATTATATTGACTAGGTATTGAGGTTTAATGATGATATGGAATTTGAATTCTATATAAATTTACACTATGTGGTTGGGGCATTTTGCATAGTAAATATGGTTACTACTCATATATATCATATTATTTGATTGGTATTCGATTTCTGATTATTTCTCTAGGAATATGATTATTATATCTCAATTTGGCTTTAGGTAGGGTGCCCCGCTAAAAGAACTGGATTCTTCCAGGAAGCATCCCGTGCACAGAGCTTGGTCTACATATATATTAAATTATTAACCATTCATTCTGTATGTGCACGAAAATTTATTTCAATCAATCAAAACTGTCTCAGAGTACTATTTGGTGATAGGCTGGCGTACCTTGATAAGTTTAAGACTTGTTCACGTACTAGGCCTATCTAGGACACCAGAAACTTGACCAAAAATTTTTCATAAAAGAGCACACCAAACCGATATACAAACATAATAATATTCTAGCTATAATACAAAATCTCTATACATACCACAGTTACCTCGAGCTCTACAAGATAATGAAATTCCGTGCTCCAATATCCCTACATGATCATGAGGGTCACACATGTTCATCAAGGAAACCCTGCCTTCAAATCTGTCAGGCAGACCCACCTGACAATCTGTTACTGTTACTGTTTAGTCCCGGACGGCTTTAATCCGTAACCGGGTTTCTCCTCCGGAGTAGGACCTCAAATTTTACTGGTAGAGGTTCACCGTTCGGCCTCGCTTCTAAGGGAATCCACGGAGATAGGTGCGAATAATGGGCTATCTGGATAAGCCTTCAAGCCCTCGCGGATCCTTAAGTATCCTTAAGTATCGTCCTTTCTGTACTGGCTGTGCACATAAGGACTTCACAGCGACCTGTGGGACAAAATGTCTGCCACTGACGTCAAAGCAACAGAGCAGAATCATTATGACATGATCGTCCCGAGAAATAATGGCCAGATATGCAAGCAGCCAACTGACCTTATTCCTCATGAGAGCCATTCGGTATGATATTGAGCTAAGACATCAAAAGACTCTCAGAAAGCCTGTTTCAGCTCACTATTCTGGTTGAAAATGTCTGGAATTTGAATGCTTGTATCGGTATCATAAATAATTGAAATTACATATATATTAACTCTCTTCCGGCAATTTGCTATACTTTGACTCAAGAACCATGCATGATTAAGTCTCCGGAGGTGTCTCAAAATCAGTAATAGAAACTGTGGATGGTTAAACTTGCACATGAAAGGGATCGGCTGAAAATTTTGGCATAGCTTCCGCTGTCCCTGAAGGATAAAACTGTCACGCTGTCCCTATCTGAAGCTGAGAATAGCCATACTGATTCGATACTTGTTCAACGTTCCTTTACTGGCAAGGAACTTGTTGTAGAATTCTCCTTTACCGGCAAGGAGTCTGCCGTTTTTTGTTTTTGTTTGTTCCTTTACCCGCAAGGAACCTGCGGTTGAATGTTCCTTTACCCGCAAGGAACGTGCGGTTGGGGTGAGGTGTAGGAGATGTGGGGAAGAAAACATGAATATTTACGTCTTCAGTTTACAAATCAGTGAAACACAAACATACTATGCGGGGGGACTACAGACCCCCTCAAAGTCCTTTTAGTAGTATGGTACACTGTTGCATTGCCAGCTGACTCACCAGCAACAATGCAAGTCCAAGAAGAAAGAAGGAGAGACACTGTCCGTTATCTGGGTGAGCCACCACCAACAGTGCTCCCACTTCTGTGGGGCTGAGGGTGTTGGCTCCAAGAACCAGCCGTGAGCAAACAGCGCCTGACCCCCTCTATGGTTAACTTGAGAATAACAGGACAATGCCTTTCTCCAGGCCAATCCGTTCAGTAACCAGCTGACCCAGCACCACCTCTGATGGAAGATGTGGTTCGGATTGGACTTCGCTAGGATTTGTCAGTTTTTCTGTAGACACTAATGCTCCCTCGAGGAAAGACATGAGCCCCGGCGAAACTGACCAAAAAACGTGGCAGGGATTCTCACCCTCCCACCTGACAATCACAACACTAGATCAACCAAAATGTTTAACATTTTAACCCCAAAGTTCAGAATGACTGACTTTACTACTAGTGTAATGTGCTTGCGAGGAAAGCTAAAACGGGCGCTATTAGCTAATCAACATAACTACGCCCTGCTTGATTGGACCGTAAAAGATTTTGACTGCACAAATGTTATTTTCCAAACATCATAACTGGTTGATCACACACATCTCAATTAAATTACCCTAGGCTAGTGGCTACTGTTTTCCAAGTCTTGTCCTGTGAGTAAAGTATGTGTGAGAAAGTTTTAATAAAATTAATGTATATTTTTGAATTTTTAAAATTTAATTTGAGAAAGAAGTATAAAGAAATTTGTAATTAGCACTGTATAGTTTAAAATATTTATAGCTTATTATAACCATTGATACAAAGGCCATAATCTTTCGCCAGCTCTCCAATATCCACCTTAAAGCTGCATTTTATATCCTTGAACTACACAATATAAGCTAAAGCATGTTTAAGTGTAGACTTTTTGTCACAACAAGACTGCAACCTATAGTAACAACTATAAACAGAACCCCTAATGTCTGCTAACAATTTTTCTTCTAGTCCTAATGTGAGCCTTGTCTCTAAAAACTTACCTGAACTAGCGTTTCGGTGTGTGCAAAAGCTTCCAGGCACGCGCATTCCTTGCCCCGTTAGTTACCTGTCTTTCCAAAACCAAACTAGCAGTCAAGGACAAAAAGTCATACACCCAATGGGCATTATATTTTATAAATTGTTTTACATCTTTTTATTCTGTAAAATGTGCTAAAATTAAATTTCTTGTTTCATTGAATTTCTTGTTTCATTGAATTTCTTGTTTCATTGATTAATAGCAGAAGTGGGTCTTGAACCTGCAACCTTCTGATTGCAAGTACTAATACAAAGACGTTCAAGCAACCAATCCCGTTGTTCGAAGTGCAGTTAATTTGGCTCCCATAGGCTTTACTGAAAGAAATTTTACCAGCCTTCAAGAAGTATCCATATTGAGAAGTACTTCTTTTTCAGTTGAGTGATTGTTAACATAGAATACATTGAATTCTAATTATTTATATAAGCAGCTTAGTTGTTTTACCAATTAATGCAACGACTTAACTGGAAGGAATACTTGTTGATTGATTTCTCAGTCAGTAATCGACCGGGATTCCCGGCGCCGTGAAATCCCGGCACCGGGGGAGCTATTTCTTCCCGGCCCCGGCCAAATCCTACCCCCGGTCGTTTACTGTTCTCAGTAACCACTGCTCAAATTATTTGTTAAAGTGCAGGGCAACAAGCTTGAATTTGTATTCCTCCAGCATAGCAAACCTTTGTTTCATTTGTTCATGTTTTAGGAAATCCTACAGTAGTGTTAAAAGTATTCAACTTCTGTTAAAGGTTCACTACATACTGAATTAAATTCTGACGTGTGTAATCCTTGTCAGCATACTTGGTTTATTAAACTATTTATTAGGTCACTATTGTGTTCAGTTGTTTAAAATTTGCTTATATTCTAGCCTATTCTGTTCTAGAAGATTTTTTTTCCGACATTAATAAAATAATTCATATTTAAAAGATTTCATTAAGAAGATCTGGAACAATTTGAATTAAGAATTCAATGTATAGGTATATTAGCTTTGCTTTGTAAGATTTATTTCTTATTCTAATGATGATGTCAGATTGTAATGATAACACATTTTGATTTTTTCATAAATTTTCGTGGCTCACGTTTTCGTTGTTATTAAACGATATTACAAGCATATTAATATAATATAATATTTTCCTAACCAGCTGATTTTTTAGTCATGGGAGAAACTGAAACGCTAAATGTAGACAGTGTCATCGCCCGCCTCTTGGAAGGTAAGTACTTGATGTTAATAATTCCATCGCTTATCTTATACATTCCGATCTATGGATACCTTTGTGAACAAAACTTTCAATACTTCACTACGTTTGATTAGATGTAACCTTTAAAGATCCCAAGCAACAGGCTTCATGTGTTATTGATTTATTCAAGTATCATTGTTTAACTGCTATTTATGTCATTCATAATTCTAATTGATCATCCTAATATATAATTCGCTTCTAATATATAATTCAATCGATTTTTCTCAGTTAGAGGGTGTAGGCCTGGTAAGAACGTACAGTTGACGGAAGGAGAAGTCAGAGGCTTGTGTCTGAAATCTCGTGAAATATTTCTCAGTCAATCTATCTTATTGGAGCTGGAAGCACCCTTGAAAATTTGTGGTTTGTTAACCCCTTGCAAATTTGAATTTAAATATGCGACAGTGCAAAAGTTAAAGTATTTTAGCATATAGAAGGCGCAGTGCCATATGAAGAGTACCGTACCATATTATAAATAGTATATATTGTGTGATGTTACATATGATATGAAGAGTACCGTACCATATTATAAATAGTATATTATATTGTGTGATGTTACATATGATATGAAGAGTACCGTACCATATTATAAATAGTATATATTGTGTGATGTATATGATATGAAAGGACAGGTAGAGTTAACCATTGTTCGTCTCAGGTGATATACATGGACAGTACACTGACCTTTTGAGACTGTTTGAATACGGAGGTCTGCCCCCAGAGTCCAACTATCTATTTCTCGGTGATTATGTTGACAGAGGAAAGCAGTCCCTGGAAGCAATATGTCTCTTGTTAGCCTATAAGATCAAATACCCAGAGAACTTCTTCCTGCTCCGAGGCAATCACGAATGCGCCAGTATCAACAGAATATATGGATTCTACGACGAATGTATGTGCTTCTTTGAACGTTGTGCTCATTATCATAATTTAAAATTAAACTATAAATTTAGAAAAAATCCTTTTTAAAATCTTAATTCCTGGAAGTCAGGCAGCCAACACAATATTATGATTAAAACATCAAGCTTATTCTTATAAATGTCTACAGGTAAAAGGAGATACAATATAAAGCTGTGGAAAACTTTCACTGACTGTTTCAACTGTCTTCCTATAGCAGCCATTATAGATGAGAAGATATTCTGCTGTCACGGTGGTTTGAGTCCTGACTTGCAGAGTATGGAACAGATAAGGAGGATCATGAGACCTACTGATGTTCCTGATACTGGTTAGCCTTCTTTTCTTAGCCTCGCACAGTGCTGTACAATATTCTTAAATATCCGCTCTTTTTAACTCTTAAGGTAACGTTGTGAATTCTAGAAAAGGCAGGTCGTACTTTTCCTTGAAACTTACGTCGAACATGTACATTCTACATTCTAGCAGTTCTCATCTACTACGAAATGTTTAACCCCATAATCATAGAATACTGAACCCCGTGCCATAATCACATAATCATGTCAACTGTTGCCAATACAGTTATTTGTAAATCTGAAGTCTGAATATTTGTTACCGTACGTGGTAAATGTTATTGTATTCTGCTGATAGCACTTAAAATACTCGTGATCTGGCAGTCTGTACAACACTTCTTAGAAAATCTAACCATCAAACGTGTGATCTATTAATAACTAATTCAGCAATTATACACCTACGTACATTTTAATTTACTTGGACGAATTTGATTTAGTATTAATTTAGTAATTAAACCTTTTACGAAACACGCATGCAGTTCTTGCTAATTTGTGCTTCATCCATGAACTAAAATAGGAAAAACAAACTGAACAATAGCTTGAATCGTGACACGGGCGTCTTGCTAAAGTGGTTATTGAATATACGTTAGAAGGGAGGCAGTGTAACTCTGTATAACACGTGCTAGCAGCGACCAATCAAATCCCTGTATCGCGGTCACGTGAGTAGACACCACCTCCACCCATTGCCCACACCGAATCTGCGACAGGTTTTATCAACAACACGCAGTGGTAACAATCGTTATTGTTCTCTACAGAAAATGTCCATTTGTTGCTTATTTTTAATGCAGCACTAATTATTTATTAAATATTAATTTGATATGATATACTCACGTGTACGTATTATATAACAATGTACAAGCCAAGCGCTTGTTTTGCCAATGCTATAATGTAGACAATTGACAGTGATAATAATGTAAACTATTACAATGTGCCCAAAACGGTTAATTTTGTGTGGTGAGTAGACATTTACTCACAGTTCTTGTGCAGTTGTATGACACTTCTGCTTTATCTTGGACAGGACAACATGTTATTAGTTGAAGCGAATAAAGTTGGCACTTTATATTGGCACGTGTGTAATCAGGCCCCAAAGCACGGTAATATTATTAGCGACATGTCCCCTCTACAACCGGGTTCAGGTTACCCTTAATACTGGTAATAACTCTGTTGTCATGGTAACTCGTGACTCCAATTGTTCCCCCCATGAGCTGTTCGTGATACCCCACAAAGTTACCATGAAATGTAAGCCTCTCTCCCGTCAGGTTTGCTGTGTGATCTGTTGTGGAGTGATCCTGATAAGGATGTACAGGGCTGGGGAGAGAATGACCGAGGAGTTTCCTTCACTTTTGGAGCAGATGTAGTTAGCAAGTTCCTTCACCGACACGACCTCGATCTTATCTGCAGAGCCCATCAGGTTTGTAATTAATTAGGCAATTAGTTGATAATTTATTAAATATATGATTTGTAGACACAATTAATGCATTAAATATTGCATGAGTTAATACGGCCAATTTACATAGGAATAACTGGTTAAAATAATACTAGTTAGTGTAAGGTGTTAGTAATGATCAGGAAAACAGACAAACAAACTGCCACACCCATCTTATCATACCTATTAACTGTTACAACTAACCATCTTAGGGTTAGTTCACATATGATTAGGTAAGCCTCCGTAGGCCAATTCATAACCACTGCAGCTATTGTGTTGCTATAAATTCTCCAGACCATTAGATAGTGAGATTATCAAGTAAGAATTATCAAGTACAGTCATACCGATTGTCCGTAGTGGCTTTTACTTCCTTCGCACAACTATCCCGTGACAAAAGTGTCCAGTTTCGCCCGATTGGAAATTAGAAAATTGCTATTCTCGCCATAGTTTGTGATTTTTTAACCACAAATCTATTAAACTAATTACAACACTACAAATCTATTACATTTATTGAGAATTATGTAATGTAACGTGATGGAAATATTTTAAACGGGCATATCCTGTCCAAACTCAGGATGCACTACATGAAGAATTCGTTGTAACTTTGTTTGAAAAGCATTAATAAGTATAAAGTCGTGATCATATCATGGGGTTATAGGATAGTGAAAATAGTAGAAACACTTTAGTTCGAACAACACTGCAGAGTCTGCCAATATCGCAAGATATAAATACATGGTTAATTTGCTCGATCACTTTGAATAGGGGATAATGACTTGAGGGTATTCTTAACCTTCTCCCTGCTATTACTAATATGTTACTTGGGGTCAGATTGTTATTCAAACAAAATTAACATGATTAAGGTCATTTTTTGGTGCTCCCTCAAAAGCGTTGGCGTGATTTTTTTTCTTGAAATGAAGATTTTATTATTTTCGCCTTTCATTCGAGGCGATGACATATACACCCCGCCTTCGCAAATTATCCATACTTATTTAAACGTCGTTTAATTTTAGGTAAAATTATTCCTTTTAAATCTCGGTACAGACATCACCTAACCGGGAAATTTGACCTGATAACTTAATATATAACTCTTACATAATGATTACATTATATGTGTTACTATGGTAACATGTGGAATGTGGGTGTAGAGGAATGTGTAATGACAGGGTGTGTAGATCTGACCACGTCATCTTAACGTCACTAAATATCTGTGTGAATTTCGTGTAAATCTGGTTAATATTAGTTCCGAACCACTTTACATGGGTGGAATTGAAAAGTGGGAGCATGTGAAATAATGTAACAGTGCTGGGGAGAATGATTTGGCCACTTTATCTGCTGGATTAACATTTAACATGTTATTATTGATGATATAAGCTCCATGGCAGTGAAAGGTAAAGTAATTCCTTGATGGTCTAACGGTTATTAGATAGAGGGATATATTGAGCACGTGACCACACATGGTCAGACCAGCAGATTAGTTTCACTAAAAAGAAATAGGCAAATTTGGCGCGAAACCATAATACGCGAATTATACCTTATGTCTAGCATTGATCACTGTGTGTGACGAACACACATGTACATACACAACACATGTACATACACAACACATGATTACACCATACACATGTATACACATACGTCTTACATACATTGCATACATAAAAAATATACAAACAAGCATAAATACATACACACACAAACATATATATATATATATTATTATATACACACACATTACACACACAGTACACACATACACACAAATATACAACACTCACACACACACTGCATGCAACATTAACGCTGACTTATACACACCTAACATCGCTTTGTTCATGACAGCACACACAATATTGCGCTGTATCCTTTGACAGGTGCTATTTTAACATATGAAAGTAATGTCGCGAAAGGTTGTAGTTGTCAAAGTTTTGTTGGCTGACTTGAATCAATTAATTTTTCTTGCGAGTTTTTTTTTGACAAAATCGTTGTGTGCAAAGCAACAATACTCTGATAGTAATAAAGTACGAAGTTTCATATTAATTCCGCGGACTTATTTGCCGCGCGCGGCAGCCAATTCAGCGCTGAAATTTTAGAGTCTTTCTCGCTGAAACTTTTATACAAACCACACGACCGTTTGCACGTACTATCATATCCGCGTGACTGTAGATTTAAAGGTTTCATCAACTGCCAAAATCGCTTATGATAATTTGTTCACTACATGAATCACTTTTCCGCCTTAGGTTGGATACAATAATTACATTAACTCCTATGATTAGAATATCATGCTTTGTTAAACTGGTTTCTGAACTATTCAATATTACCGACTCCATAATGGTCACTGATGACTACTGGTCCCATGATATAAGGTATTAAAAAAGGGCTACACAGTTAACAGTACCAGGCTAAGTTGTCCGGCCTCTACTCTGAATGATAGTGAAGTTTGTACACTAATACTATTACTTCTGTGAGTAGCTGACTATTTGATTTGTTTTGTAGGTAGTTGAGGACGGATATGAGTTCTTTGCAAAGAGGCAGCTCGTGACGCTGTTTAGCGCTCCTAACTACTGTGGAGAGTTTGACAATGCTGGAGGAATGATGAGTGTGGACGAGACTCTCATGTGCTCATTCCAGGTATTATTACGCTTACTGTGGAACCTCAAACAAATAATTGCAACTTTAACTCTCAATATTATCATATTTTTGTCATATTCATTAGTCCAACATATAACGCATGCTATTTAATCTAGCAAAGAATGTACCAAATTCTAAAACTTATTTTCTCGACTGATCCTTTCATTTCAGATCTTAAAACCTGCGGATAAGAAAGCCAAGTATCAGTACGGAGGTCTGAATAGTGGACGTCCTGTGACCCCACCGCGAGCTGGCGCTAACAACAACAAACCTGGCAAGAAAGCCAAATAATAACTTTCCACTTGCAACACTTCATCATCGTGTTGCTATGGTGACAACATTACGTTGTCATGATAATCGACTCTGTAAGATAATGATTATTGACGTGACTGTGAAATGTCACGTGCTATTAAATGTCACGTGCTACTATAAATGTCACGTGTGATACGAATGTATTCTTGTTTATTTCTAACAATGCGCTCGATTTACCAACTATATGACCTGATTCTCAACTAGCAATTACTGTGTTAAAATGGGTAACATTTTAAGATGTGTCTGAGGTTTTTTATTACTACCTCTTAGTTGTAATGATACAAGTTTGCCTTTGAAAACAATGAGATTACAAAGTAAAAGGAGCGCGGGTATTTGAGATTTTGAAATTTTAGTGTGCAAATAGAGATTTGCGGTTTTGATGAGCATGGAGATGAATGTTGAGATGTTTAATTTTACTAGTAGTTACTACTACTAGGCAGTTTAATTTTAAATCCTTACTCTCTCGTTCCCGCATGACACCACTCCCCAAGAAGGGTGTTATATTGATATTGTACAAATTCAATAAGCTACTTCTTCATGTAATGGAATCCGTCATTCTTTAGTTTGTTTCTGAACTGCGGTTCAGTCAAAGAACTATATATTAATTCTATCCATATTGAATGTACTTCAGTGCCATGCCACTCAATTTTAACCCCAAAAATTTCGTGTTTCTGCCATAGCGCCAACTGTAGATTATAGAATGTAGATCATATCTCAGGAGACATATTTATGTTCGAGATAATTCCGGTGACCGAAATGATGAGGGAACAACAATATGTGGGTCTAATATCATACCCCAGATTAGATCATGGCATTTGGGGATTTTCTTCATTTCTTCATACCTCACAAAAATGAACCCAATATTTGATAAAATTAATGAAATAAAATACAAAGTTTGAAAAATTATAACTACATTTCTTCGTCGTCCTCATCTAGTGGGCCCCTCTCCCCGATTATAAGATATATCCCCCCTACCTTTGTGCTGCTTTTCACAGCGCAGTTATTTTTATTCTAAGCCCAAATCATTATTATTCTTCATTTTGGGCGAGCGATTTAGTGGGAGCGGTTGAATCAACAGTGTTGATACATGAATAGAAAGTGAATCTTTAAAAGTTGTGTTGTGAACCGTGGAAATTATTACAATCTTCTTGTTTCTGCATCTGCGTCCAGACTGTTGTAAAATTACGCTTATAGTTCAAACTATTATTACTGGGCGGCGCTCAGCCTGTCATTCCGCCGAATCTTTATTCTATTATTCTATTATGAACATAATAGCCTGGGGTCCCCAGGTAAAAACTATTATAGTAATAGAAGCGCTGTTTATAATTTAGGACAATTATTGTAACGTGTTTACTCCAGAATTGAATCAATGCTGTAAGTTCCCTAAGTTGCAAGAAGCTTAAATCTTAGCAAGGACAAAGGATAAGAGAGTGCGCCGCGCCTACTAAATCGCTCGCCCAAATTTTAAGAAAATTCTTGTGAAAAGGCCCTGAAGTGTGAAGGTATAAATGTAATCTTGTTCGGTGTATTTTGGACGCTGATTCCGAATCACCCCCTCCATTCGATTGTTTAGGCCTAAGGCTCTGGTTGTGATTAGGGTTTATGTTAAACTAGGTAGTGCGCCATCGACAGTGAGCCGCGCGTGCCGACTGTAGGATGGTTTTTTAGCGCTAATTTCGGCCAGCACAATTTTCTTCAAACAAATAGATATTGAGTATCCTTCCCGACCTCCAATTGCAACAAAAATTGGTCGGCTTACTTAAAGACTTACAAGGAGAGTGTCCGAAAAATTTAAAGCATATCCAACCATCAGACATTATGTTACAGCTAAAAGTAGCGTATTTTGCCCCATTTTGATCACTATATCAACTCCGATATCCACCAAATTTTTCGGACAGTTGTGAAAGCCCTATTGGAAGGTCGTCGCCAATTTCCAGAATGATCTCATTTAAGGAACTAAAGATAAATCCGAATAATACGACAAAAATGGTCAAATTTGGACGAATTTGGTCAAATTACGCGACTTTTACAGCTACTTTTGCTCCAAAAGCCGCGCACCATCAAATATGGCACCTAGGCGAAACTCACTGATCTTTCCAAAAAGGTATGACAAATTTGGTATTGGGGAAATTCTCACAATCTCTAGAAAACAGTGGTACAAAAATTTTTAAAATCCGAGCAAGTTTATTTTTACCGTGCACCTCCTAGTTAAACCGTTTTGTACGGCTGCAAAACCATAAAAACCAAAGTCACGTGTAATTTGTGGGCGAGCGAATTAGTAAAAGCCCGTGACCCCCATTACATTGTCGCTTCACTAGTATCGTTAACGGGTGATACTCTTAAAATATTTGTTCCAGGACCGTCGACGAGTCCAACTCGGCGCGCGTCCTAGTAGCTGTTGTAAACCTACAACAGTATCGTGGCTATCGATATTAATTGACGATGTCAATTCATGGCAGCTCGGCGCGGCACAATATAGCGCATCTCGCCGATCTCGCTGTGAGAACAGAGAAGCCTCATTGAGTGCGCGGCACAGTAACGCATCGCGCTACAACTATCGATATACAGCCACGCACTCGTGCGCGGTAGTGGGTAGGTCTCCAACGTATGACACTGATTAATGATATATATTCAATATTGGAGGACTTCGATGCACCGCGCAAACTAGCATTCTTGCTTCGATCGTTGCTCTGCTTCGCAGAGCAACGATCTCGATTGGTTGACATGGTCAATCAATGATATATATTAATGATATATAATATGATGTCGCGTCTCAAATTACGTAATTCGAGGGCAAAGGAGAGTGCATAATTGCAAGTTGTAGCGCGATGCACTACTGGGCCGCGCGCGCATCCAATAATGCTTCTCGCAACCACATGCTTACTGGGCCGCGCTCAGCCTGTCATTCCGCCAAATCTTTATTCGGATTATTTTAATGAACATAATAGCCTGGGTTTGTAGGTTTACAACCTACCAGGACGCGCGCCGAGTTGGACTCGTCGACGGTCCAATATATGGAACAAATATTTTACGAGTATCACCCGTTAACCTGGGGTCCTCAGGTAACCACATGCAAATCGGCGAGATGCGAAGGATTGACATCGTGAATCAAAATTGCAAGGCTTTTACTAATTCGCTCGCCCAACAAGAAATGCGGCCGCTTTTTTTGTGGATGCCCAGGAAAAGTTACCGGCTGGTGGTGGTACTAGAGTTGGTTTAATTTAAACAGACGGCTTGACCTCGCGCGCAACAACAAGCATGATTTGCACGCGTGGCGTATTCCAATGTTCAGGCAGCTACCACGTGACACAATTCAGCCAACCAGAGTACAGGAATCCGCAAAGTTAAAGTTGCAAACTTTTGATCGGCCTGAAATAGGGGAACTTTTCTGGAGATTTTGAGATAACTCAACAATTACGTTGTCTTGAATTTTCCTCCTGGAGAGGTAACGTTACTTTTAAAAGAGGAACATGTTACCAAAAACCGGAAGTCTCTAACTCTTTTACTTTCAAAGTTAAGCCCCATCCGGTCAGGGTTTCTGGGTGGCCGCTCAATTTCCCGATCCGTGATGGCCATGGCGTATTTTATCATATTCCATACAACCAGGGGACCCCAATTCTTACTGTTTATAAGCATGCAGATATAGCGGAGTGACAGGCCGAGCGCCACCAAGTTTATATAATTCCATATTCAATATTGAAATTGAAAATCGTGTATATTTCTATGTATTTCTAATGTAACCATATGCTTATTGTTTATGCAACCTGACACCCGACACGGATCTGTGCAAAGTAGTAATAGTAACTCAAAATAATAATAGTATGCTATCAATTAGAGCCTAGTGGGATATGTACATGGTGAAATTAATAATGTATGAATCTTGTATCTTGTTGTACTTGGTCAGTTCAGCGCCGCGCGCCAACAATTATTTAATTCAGATTATTACGCAAAATAACTTTGCGCAGGTAGTCACGTGGGCGATAACAGTGCGCTAGGGCACGTATGTACGCACGCTCGCACGGACGCAAGCTTCACCTAACCATGTGCTTTCGCGCCACTTCGGGCGCGCTTGTTTCACAAGTCAAGAAGGCGGGCGCGCGCTACTGCAAGCGCAAGGGCTCTGGATAGAGCAAGACGCAAGCTTGCTCTAACCAGAGCCCTCTCGCTTGCAACTTGTGAAACAAGCGCGTCACGCAGTAGGCGTACACACATGGCTATGTGAAGACGCAAGCTACAATATACAAAAAAACCTCGTTCGCTAACCCTTGTCCTTGACTCTTTTGTGACTTCTATTCTGTATTCGGCACTTTGAGTCATGGATCGGGTTACCTGAGGACAGTAGTTTAATGGGAGTTTTTCGAGCTGTATTTACCCCAAAAATTGGGGCACATTTAGCTTTAGCACATTTGACTAATCTGCCAAATATTTAGCCGGAGATTACAAGTTCGAATCCCAGTCAGAGTCGTTCTCCAAATTGATTATATTATTATTGTACACATTTTAACCTAGTTTAACCCATTATTCAATTTGTATCTAACTTAACCCTACATTATGCAATACAGATGTATCAACTAAACACATTCTTCACACAGCAGAAGTCGTTAAATGTATATAGTGTACACGTTCACGTAACATCAATATTGCATTGAGATGAGTACGACCATAGTTTGCGATCGACGATGGGCACATTGAAACAATGTTAACATCTGGCACGCATCGACCTTTGTACAGTGTGCTGATGAGGTGAAATAATGGCTAATGTGTTTTGATCTAAATTTAGTGTACTGTTTCAGGACAACACCTGGAACTTTGCTTACACTATCTCACTACTATTTAGCTTTCAGTTGTATGTTGCGTAACATTTATCTCTGCTTCGCGCCTAATTGTTATCATCTTTAACTTTAAGCTTAAGTTTTTAATTCTTTTACTGTTGTTGGTCACGTAACACTAACTGTTTGATATGAAATCTAATTTATAAAGAGTACTTTCAGGATGCGTATGGTTACTCTTCAGCAGCTCAAGAATAATACGTCATTGTATAACCGTAAACCTTGTACAGCTAGCATAGATACACTTATAGTAACAGCTGTGCAATAAATTTGACACAAAGAACTGGTCTAGATATTTTCTACTTTCTAAAATTATATCAGATCTCCATAAGGTAGTATGACGCAATGAATAAAGATGCAACTGCCAGTGTGCCATGTTAATTACTGTTCCCAATTCGTAGGATAATTTATAATATTTACTGGATACTGAATACCGAATACTGAATACTGAATACTAAATACTGAATACTGAATACAGAATACTGAATACTGAATAATGAATACTGAATACTGAATACTCGGACTCCAATGCTGTTAAATTCGCACTAAACGTATTATTCGAATTAAATTCGCGTACGAATTTTTTTTTTTTTCTTTCTGAAAATAAACAATTAAAAATTTTTTTAAAAAAAATATGGAAACAGGAAATCACGTGCCCATATAGCTGATATCAAAATGTTTTTGTATGGTGGAATATTGCAAAAAACATGTGCTTCCTGCAACACGTGCGTGGTTAGTGCATAGTGATTAATGACTAGCGTGGGTACCCCGTGGGTACTGACCAAGATCGCAAGGGGTTAAATTAGGTCATACCCGAAAACCTTATGCAATGGAGTAAACTAACTTCTCTCAATATACTTGTAATTACTTTATTTCCTCTACAGTCTAGTCTATTTGTCGAGATTTGTAAGTTTTTGTCGGATGTTACTCGTCTAAATTTCTTCGACGGCAAGTGCTACGAAGTAGCGCGTGCCGGGCCAGACCATTAACAATGGTCAATGTAAGTTTGAGATTTGAAGTATAACGTCACAATTTACATATTCAACTAGATATCGATAATAGACTCGAGAATGTTGCGCGTTTCCACTGCCGAATTTTTACCGAATTTTCCGCGCATCTTTTGGTGAATTTAACAGCCCTAAAAATTAAAACTTGAAGTTGTAAATTGGCGAATTATTCGCGTACTTTCTGAGAACTCTAAATACGCCGTACTTTTTGGCGAAAATTTGGAGAATTTAACAGCCTGGAAGTACTCAATATTGAATCCTTAATACTTAATACTGAACACCAATAGATTTAATATTTGACGCAAACATCTTGCTTGATCGTGGTCATAATTATTTAAATCCTCTCAACACCTCCATTATTATACTTTATGATATCACGTAGCTAGGATCGTGACATGACATTATTATTTATAATTATAATGTATTATTTATAATTATAATTAATGTAGACAATAAAATACACGTTTAGATTTTGGAAGTGAACTTTAACTAAATTATTTATTGTTATCGTATCATTTCAGTCCAAATAACTTTATATTCAATAATTACTCAATTTTCAAATATTTATCAATAGTTAACAATGTTTTGGTTATAAAGTTCATGAATCTTCCTGACGATATTTTTGTTCTCGTTCATTAGTTTGTTTACATCAGATAGACTAGTAGTCGTGATAACTGCATCCAATAGAGCTCGTTCTTCCATACTTAAAATTGTGGTGATATCTTGTCCACAGTCAACGAGAAGCTGCTTCAATGTCTCAAACAGTTCAGTTTTCATTATGTAAGAGAATAAAAAGTCGAAACATGTATCTTCCTCCTTACATAATTTTCTTTGTAACAGGACGTCTAGAGTTTTGAGTAATTTCGACATCTTCACCTTTTTATTTATTTGTTTGATTGCTACACCTTTTCGCTTGCCTTTGCGTTGTCGAACAATACTAGATTTTGTTTTTGACTCATCATCACCACTTGTTTCCTCAGAGTTAGAACCATCTTGATGAGATCCTTCAGATATTGTTGTATCAGCATCTGAATATGAGGCAGCAGGATAATCCATTTCAACATCAGACACATCCGAGTTAGCTTTTGACACGATAGAGCTTGTGTCTGACTGGACGTTCTCTCGATGAAACCGACTTTTGTGTGAGGACAGACTTCGCTTGTTAGCGAATTGTTTATCACAGAGCGGGCAAAACACTGACATCACTGATTGAAATGAACTGTTCCCGACAGTCTTCTCCTTATATAGGTGACTGCTCAAAAATTTACGCAAATATCGCTTTATTTTACTCAAATTTTATATTCAATGCTGCGTAAATCTTGCACAATGTCATTTAACGATGCTAGATGTTACTCAATGTTGTTAATTTTTTGGTCATAAATTATTCGATGTTGCCCAAATGTTGCTTAGTGTTGCTTAATGACTAATGTTGATTAATGTTGTTCAATGTTGCTAGATATTTCTCAATATTGTTCATTTGGTCGTATATTATTCAATGTTGCTCAAA